TGGTAGTTGCTGTGTAAGTCTACCTTGTTGGGGGTCATCCCCTCTTTCTCTGACCCTTGACCTGTCCTAGCATAATGTCTCTCTCCAAGAACTGGTTCTTCCCCAAAATATGCCCAAAGTAAGTGAGTTAAAATTTTACTGTCCTTGTCTTTCCGAAGCACTCTGGCTGCAAACCTTGACAGGTTTGTTTGCTCTTTTGGCAGCTCATGGGATAGTCAGTGCTTTTTGCCACAGTTCAAAGGCTTTGATTCTTCTCCTGCCATCCTTAGTCATTGTCCCAGTTTTAGATGCATAGGAGGCAATTGAAAGGACTGTGAATGAGCCGTATAGAGCACCTTCCGGGCCTCACCTGTCACACATAACCCCTGAGCACAGTTTAGTTACAGAGACCTGGCTGTGGTATAACGATTCCCTGACTGTCCTCCACCGCAGCGTTCAAACTCTTTCAGCTGATGTCTATAGAACACTTGAAGGAGTAGATGGAGAAATTGAGGCCCAGAGAGGAGCAGAACTAATCCATTACCATGTAACGAATCGCCTGACCTCTTGGCCTCATGTCTTCTTCTTTGATTCTTTCTGGTGAGTGGACTTTGACTCTTGTTGTTTGCTGGTGTGGGGCGTGGAAGCCGAGGTGATAGATCAGTTCAGAGGCAAGCTTTGTGGGGTGCTAAGGAAACCAGAGAGGAAAGATACCTCTTTTTCTTGAAGATCTTCTCTATTTCCTGAATTTCATATTAACCCTTTTGTGTGAGCCTGGAACAATCCTGTGAGGGCATCAGGGTGAGCTCCATTTTGCTCAAAGGAAAAGCCATGGCAGAGTGGAGTTTGGGTAAACAGTGAGGTCTGTGCACGCGTTGGTCTCCAGAACCCTGGGAGCAGGACCCCCTCTCCTCTCCGCCAAAGCCCAAATAGCATCCCCTCTGGACAAGGAGACTGTCTGCAGCGGCAGTGAGGTGATGTCTGGTTTCTCTAGGAGCACTGTAAGCAATGATTAATCTGGCTCTGAACCCAAAATATAGACCGACTTCTATTATAAACATGGTCCTGTGGAGACCCGCCTGCCAGCAGCCCGAGGCCCCTTGCAAACCCCCGTGCTTCCCAGGCTCCCCTGAAGCTTCCTCTCACCCTTGTATCAGTCAGGCATCCATCACACATGGGGAAATCACTGAGTCTGGTCCACCTTGTGGTCAGTGCCCGCCCTGTAATTGCTGGGACCCTGGAGAAGATAATGGTTTAGATTCTTCTAGGTCCTGGGGCCCTATCATTTGAAGCTGTTTGGCTGGCCCCACATTGATAAACAATGTTAAGGTGAGTTAAGAGCATAAGAACAGCCCTACCACTTTCAGCCCTGCTTTGTCAATGCTCAGACCAGTGAGGAGAAACTGCGTTGTTCATGGCAACATTCATGGTCCTTTAAGGCCTCTCCATTGACTGAGAGAGACTTAAGATTCTGGTCTTCTGAGCAAAGGACAGCCAGATCTAGCATCCTGAGTGAGAGTCTGGGCTTAGTGACGACTTTGTTTAGTAGCCTTAGGCAAACCTCTGTTCTCTGAGGTTTAGTTTCTTAATCTATCCAGTGAGAAAAGAATTGTCAAGTTGATGAATTAGTTCTCTTCAAACTCAAATACTCCAGGGTTCCATGACCGGCCTCTGCCCCAATATTACAGTTGTGAGTCAGGAACTTCCTTCTCAGGGAGTTGGGTCTGTAAGAGGATTTTTCTACGGTGGCCTTGGTCTGATCAATGAGAAGATCTTTTCATGGTTTGATGGTTTGTGGTAGGTCTAACCTTGCTCAGACCTTGGGAAACTGTGGGGCCTCAGGAGAGTCTCTCCTTCTTTGAACCCCACCTTTCTCATCTAGTTATTATGAGGAGCGGATGAGCATTTGTGTTGAAGTCCTCGGCCCTGGACGGAGTGGAGGGCCAGCTGCTATGCATGCCCCAGACTGTCATTCATTTTCTTTTAGCTGTATCTTGCATAGAGTGTTTTTGGAAATCTTCCTCTGGAGTTTCACTCATAACGCTTTTTTTTTCTTTCTTTCTGAATTTGAAAAAAAAATTAGTTTCAGGTTTCTATGTGGCTGCAGAAGAAACCACAGAAGCTGCTGACTCTTAGTCCCTGGCCCCCCCTTTGGCACTTCTTTTGAGGTTCTTGTCCCCGTCATTCCACTTTGCAGCAATCACATGAGGTGGGCAGAGAGACTGAGGCTTAGAGGGTCTGTGCCTGATCACACAGCCCAGAGCTGAAGACTGAAGTCAGCTTTTTACTGGAAGTCTCTCCCTCACTGCCGTCGAGTCAGATCGACTCATAGCTGACCCTCCAGCGGGCTTTCAGAGGCTGGACATCACACGGGAGGAGATTACCCATCTTTTTACCAAAGAGCAGCTGGTGGATTCGAACTGCCTGCCTTTGTGTTTACAGCGTAACTCCTTAACTCATGAGGCCACCGGAGCTCACTGGGAACAGGCCTTGTTTTATTCTTCCTTATCCGTGAGCTACAAAATGGAAAAATAATAAAAGGGTGATTATTTATGTCCTAAGGAACCCTGGCAATGCAGCAGGTATTCAAAAGATTGGAGGTTTGAACCCACCTTGTGGCTCTGCAGGTGAAAGACCAGCTTCTGTAATGATTATGACAAGAAAGCCCTCCAGTGCTGTTCTGTCAGTGGGGCTGCTAGGAGTTGAAATTGCCTTGAGTACCTAACACCATGTGTGTCCTATCACAACACACCCCTTTTGTAGACCCTCCTGTGGCTACTAGTCACACTGAAGAGGGAAAAGCCATGTAACCCACAGTTTGTCTAATCTTCTGCCCTGTGGTATGCTGTGGCCTCTTGTTTTCTCCAGCCAGCCCCTCCTGTGTGGCAGCCCTTGTCAGGCGCTCATCACTTTGACCGTCTTGCTCTTTCTTGAGCCCACCCCAAAGCATCCTTGTCTCGGGGACTTTGCACTTGCTGATCCTTCTATGTGTGATGCCCGTTCCCAGATGACCAGCCCTGTGTCCAGCTCCCTCACTGCATGCATCTCCTTAGAGCAGCCTTCCCTGCACCCCTACAATCACAGCACTGCTATTCTCACCTCCTATCTCCACATACTCGTCTTCGTGACACTGATCACTACCAGACATTATCTTTTCTCCCTCCTTCTTAGTATCTCCTTAATTAGAATGTAAACCCCATTACGGCAAAGCATACGGTCTGTCTCTACTCCAGGCCTCGAATGGTGCTGCCTTAGTAAATGTTTGCTGAACAAACACAGGAAAAATGAAGATGATGATAGCAGTAGCTAGTGTCTACAGGGTCCCTGGTGCCAGATGCTGGACTAATGGCTTCATGCACGTTTTATCGTGTAGTCTCTATACCGCTTTTCTAGCCCCGTCTTAAAACTGAGGAACTTGAGGCTCAGAGAGGTGAATGAAGCCTGTGGCCTTTGGCCACCCAGCCAGCCAGTGGAGGGGCAAGATTGAAACCCAGATTGGTCTGAAAGAAGAGATCTTAGCCACACTGTGTGCTAATCCCTGGCTGTGGTCTGTGCCTCAGTTTACCTGTTGAAGGAAAGAGCACACAGCCTGGCTGGGAGGATCTCACCCAGCTAGTGCCCATAAGCCCCTGAACTTGAGATGCATCACTGCGTGGTCTTGAGGCATGAGTAGGTACAGAAAGAATGCTTGTAAACTCCCCAAACAGCTTGGATCAAACTGACTGTGCTGTTTATAATTAAGAGTTCTTATTTCCTGGGGGCTGCTGGGTGTGTGTGTTTGTGGATGTGCATGAAACTACATATGTCTGGGGATGTTTGTACGACTATTAGTGAGAGGTGGTGAGAGGCAAGCCTGCTACTCCCGAATCCTCCAAGACTCAATCTTCTCCTTCATAAAATGGGAATGCTAACCCCACTCTCTGCCTCACGTGACTGTTGTCAGGGTTAGATGGGGTCTTACAATCTTAGGATCAAGGCAAACACTGTAAAGACTGTGCATAGAGGGCTGTAGGTTTCTGGAGTCTTATAGTATCACTATGTGAGGGAATCGTCAAAGTGCAGAGTGTTAAACCATTAGTGCTGAAAGGGACTTGAATTCTGAGTCTTTCCTGGAAGCCCAGAGAAGGTCCAGAACAGTGGTCAGGTCTAAGCCCAGGACTCCATGCATGTAGGGCTCAGTGGGGATCTGTGTGGTCCCCCTGATTGGCATGGAAGCCCCTTGCTGGGTCTTCTTTCTACAACAGCCCTAAATTGATGCAACTTGAAGCCTGGGGTTTCTCCCGGCATCATCCTGACCTCTGCTGACATCAGAATGCAGCACTGCCTGAAAGCCCTTGTTTAGATTCTCCGCACCTACAAGCATGCCAGTACTCCCCAGGATCATGGACATGTGGACACAGCGAATGTGGGTGCAGAGCATTGCCGGAGCGTCTCAATCAGACATTGTGATGGCCTCTTCCTCCTGGGGGGACTGGAGCTGGAGCTGGGCTTGTTGGGAGGAAGGGAGGCAGCTATTTTGGTTAACATGTTTGGTCAGTATGTGAGATCTTTCCTGAGCGGGGCTTTGTGAGGAGAGACAGGTCCTGACAGTGGAGGGAACCCAGCGTCACACAAAGGCTAGACATCATGCCCCGGGCCTGACGTCCTGTTCATTCCATCCATCCAGTCATAAGTCCCCACTGACACTGCCGACAGGCTCGCCTTCTCTCGGGACGCGGGAAGGACGGCCAGGAGACGGCACACTCTGTCTCAGCTCTCGCTCTGACAGCTGTTCTAGCCCGGCTCCCACACCCTGTGTGCACAGCGCAGCCTCCCGTCCAGGTCCTCCAGCCTGACCACCAGTGGTAGCTGAGAGGAAAGCCCTCGTTTTGCTAATTCTCACTCATTCCGTGCATCCAGTTTGTAAGCATGTACCAAGATGCTGGCTGTGTCACCGACTTCAGGCACACAGGGAGGCTGGGCCTCTGCAGTCTGCAGCCCCAGATGTCTTGCCGGCCTGATGTGACTTTCCTTCCCCACAGGGCCTCAAGGGCTATCCTGGACCAGCAGGGCACCCCGGAGAACAGGTGAGGGCCTTCCTGAGCCACACCCTGCTTGTTGTGCCTCCTCCAGCCCTGGCCTCCTCTCTGGGCCCTGCTCCAAGTGAACGAGCCCCAGGCCAGGCTGTCCTGCCTCCTGTCCCGCTGGGGGCCCCCACCACACCCCACTTCTCTTGCAACCACATCTGCCTGAAAGGGCCGGACTCGGCGCCTGCCTGGTATTGGCATGAGCCACTCAGCTCCGGTTAGATCCATGAATAGCTGGCCTGTTCCGGGCGATGTTAGGGTATATTATACACGCCGCCACGGGGTTTGTAGGAATTTTGGCTGCCCGGGCCCAAGTCAAACAGCAGCCCCTGCCAGTGTGGGAGAGCCGGCCAGGCCCTCAGTGCCTCCTTATTCCTGGGCTGCAAGCAGAGGGGGTTTGTCCCTCAGAGCTGGTCTGACTGGTTTGCCAGAGAGGTGGGCTTGGGGGCCCTGGCTTCCCTTTCCTCTCTTTCATCTCACATTCCTGCTCCTCTTTGTCCATTGTAAGCCCCAGACCCCTTTCCCCCACCCCCTAGGCTTGGGACTGAGTAGGACCTCTCCTTCCCTCATGCTTCTCTCTGTTCCTTTCCAGGGGCAGCCGGGACCTGAAGGCAGCCCAGGGGCCAAAGGTTACCCTGGCAGGCAGGTGCAGTATATGGCTTCTGGAAGCTCTGGTGGCCATAGTGGTGTGGAGATGGCCACGGGTTCCCCCAGGCAGAGGGAGGGCCAAGGGGCTGTGCCCACCAGGTGGGTCCCAAGGAACATACTGATCAGGAGGCTGCCCCAGGGAGGCCTCTCTTGGGAGGTGTTGAAAGGAATGACTGGAAGACTTTCCATGTTTTATAGTGTTTTACAAAATCATTCTTTAGTGTTGCATATATTGAAGGGGGAAAAGAATGCTTGGGAAACACTTTGTCATGTACTGCCTCACTGGGCTAGGACCTGGGGACAGTGGGGACATGGCCAGAAATCCCATACATTGGCACACTCCCGTTGGACAGAGGCAACTGAGGTTCAAAGGAGACAGAATGCATGTGGGTCACTGATAGTGTCTCCATGTGTCCCTCCCCCTGTCTTTTGTGTTCCAGGGATTACCTGGACCAGTAGGAGACCCAGGCCCCAAAGGCAGCCGGGTAAGTGGCTTTGGCAAATGACATACACGTGGGCCCTGAGTGGTAGTACCTGTTGCTTTAGCCAGGCCTGCTGGAAGGTCCGATCTCTGAGTCCTTCACTGTGGCCTCTTAGGTGGACTGGAGAGAAGGTCCTCCCAATGGTACTCTCTGTAAAGGGCCAGGTGATGAGGACCCTTGAGCCAGGCAAGGCATCTTGGTTCTGTGGCTTGAAAGTCTCAGCCAAGAAGGCTCTGCTGAAGGCTCAGCCATGGTCCAGCTGCACCCAACCGGGTGTTTGCAGCTCATCCCAGATGACTCAGGGACCAGTACCCGGGCTTCCTCCACAGCCTGTGATTGGAATCCTCCAGGGCCCCTTCTTGCTTTTGACTGAGCATAAGGGAAGCCACCTTCTTGGCGGGCAATGGTGCCTGGGAGGTAAATGCTTCTCAGGCCTGGAAACTGATGACCTTCAGCTCTCCCTGTCCTTCTGGACCCACAGGGAACAAGTCTTGAGGAACCAGCAGCTTTGCTTTCAGTTTTTACCATGTCGTGATATACATTTTTACCTCCAGCTTGGTTATAGGATGGCAAGGGTATTGGAAGCAAGTACTGCTGAGGGAGTGCTCTCAGATGGCTGGTGGGGAGGTAAAGAAGGTTCCAGGTGAATTCAGTAGGGATAAATGATGCTCAGAAGCCTAAAACATGCTTGGGTGGAGTCCTCTCTTCTACACACAGGAAGGAACTGCCTTCCCAGATGGGACCTGATGGCCCTAGTTCATCTTGCATGTATTGTATGGAACTGGGATGGGGGCTAAGGTGTCCTGAGGCTTGGCTACTGCCACTCAGGAACGCTTAGAAAGTTCTCCTGAATTACGCAGCTCCTCACTGAGTGGGTCACTGAGGCAGGTCATGTGTGAGCCACGGTTCTTTATGCCCTGTGGGAGGGAGAGGCCATAATGGTTACAGATTGAGCCGTAATTGCAAGAGCAGACAAGCTGCTGTGAGGACAGTGGCTGGGGTGGGGAGAGGGCATAGGGAATGGACGGGAGGGCAGAATGGCCGGGGTGTTATTAGGCTGTGCAGGGCTAAGGAGGATCCTAGGAGGCTGGGCCTCCCTTCTTTTATCCTGATACTTCCTCAGGCCATGGTCCCGGCGGAGCCCAGGGACAAGTTCTTTTCACCCTAAGAGGTCCCAGCAGGGAGGAGGGGAAGAGGGCACATGCTGATGATGACATCTGGGGCTGTGTGGAGTTTGCTAGGCTGGCGGCATCTTGAGGCCACATGTGGGGTCGAGGTGACTCTCTCCCGCACCACCCCCCGCTTCCATCTCCTGCAACTTTCAGAGTCCTTGGGCACCAAGGGTGAGCCAGCCACTTGCACATGTTTCCCTCCCTGCCCTGCCCTTGCTGGGCTCTGATTGTGAAGTGGGCAGAACACAGGCTCTGGCATCAAAACAACTGATTTGGGACCTGCTCTGCTGCTAGTTAACTAGATGAGCCTTTCAGTCTGGGCCATGAGTCCTGCTTTGAAGGGTCAGTGAATGGTCGCTCATTAAGAATGTGGATACTGATCATAGTGGACGTGAGGCTTGGAGACCTCTTGACCGCCCAGGGAGGGACGATCTTTTGTGAACCTCCCTTGCTTCTTGTTTGTGGGAGGCTGTATCATTCACCCACATTCCAGCCGTGTGAATAGGTCACTTCACTTCCCTGGGCCTAAATGTTCTCTTTGTAGGGGAGAGAGGAGGATGCCGTAAATTATTTAAACGTCACTGAGAACCAGACCTGGCATATCATTTGCATCCCATAAAAACCCGCTTTTGTTCTGTTGTTGTCGCCATCGCCTTGACTGTGACTCATAGTGACCCTCTGAGCAACAGATATGAGCCTCTGCCCTCCTGTGCCACCCTCATGATCTCTGATACACTTGACTCCACTGTGACACTGTCAGTTCATCATTTTTGACGTCTTTCTCTGAGTTTTCCCTGTTCCCAGCGTGATACCTTTTTTTCCCAGCGACTGGTCACTCCTGGCGACATGCCCAAAGTATGTGAGATGAGGTTTCACCAGCCTTGCCTCAAAGGAGTGCCCTGATTACACTTCTTCCAAGAGAGACTTACTTGTTCTTTGGGCAGTCCATGGGATATGCAGGCCTCTTCAACACCACAACTCAGAAGTCTTCTAACATCCTTATTTATGATTCAGGTTTCAGTTGCATAGATAGCACTTGAAAATACCATGGCTTGGATCAGGCCCACCTTGTTGTTGTTGTTATGTGCTGTCGAGTCACTTGCTGGAATGTCTTCTTAAATCACACCACAGATGTCTAGGGAGCACCATTCTGGGTGGAAACCCCGGGCTGGACCCCTGCCGTAGAGAAGTTCCCAGGTTAATGGGTCATGATAGAAAGCTCTTGGGAGAAAGTAGTAGATGCTACTCAACCAGTTGCGTTGAGTTGGTCATGGTGACCTCAGATATGCTGGAGTAGAACTGAGCTCCAGACAGCTTCCAGTGACTGCACGTTGGGAGGCAGATCACCAGGGCCCCGTCTCCTGGCTCACAGCTGAGTTAGTGAACTGAGCTTGCGCATTAAATCCAGATGCTGCCAACTGAGATGCAAACCTGGTGCTGGATGTTGGAGGTGGTTATACTGGCTGAGGCATCAGGGATGTCTTATCAGAGGGAATAATATTAGAGCTGAGCATCGATGCATTCAGCTCTGCAGTCTTGAAGGATGTTCCAGAGGAAGGCACAGAGGGGTAAAGGCTGGATGCGGGGAAAACAGGGAGAACACAGCCGTGTGGTGATAAAGAGCTCCTGGTGGCCTTGGAGTCAGCTGGACCTAAGCTGACCATTAGCCCAGTGCTGACTAGGCATGCTGCTTTGTCCCCATATTCCTCATCTGTGCCCTGAGGGCATGACAGCCAATCTCCAAGGTCCTCATGTGTCTTTGGTGCTGTCACACACATAGAGTCCTGGCACCATGCCTGACACGACATCAGTATGCCTGGGTGGCAACTGTTCTTGCTGCTGCCCTGGGATAGATTTAAGCCAGTCCTGGGTGTGTATTCAAGGCTGGTGAGATCCAGGAGAAGCCATTGCAGAGGCCACTGCCCGTCATGAGCATCCCTCGGGGTGGCCAGGACCTGGTGCCATTGTAGAGTTTAACCCAGCCGAGAGCTTCCTTCCCACAGGTCCTGGAGCCACCGGCACGGGCGGGTCTCCCCCCGACGCGCCCGCGCCCTTCCCTGGCGTGAGGGTATGTGCCTTTGGACTACATCGTGGAAGCCAGCACCATGCAGTCCATGGGCATATACACTTGCCTCAAGGCCTATGTCATCGAGGAGCCACTGGAGCCACCGGAGTCACCTGCAAGGAAGAGGAGCCGGAGGGAGGGGGCTCTGAGGGGTGGGTGAGGATGGGTGGGGCAGGCCACACCCCACCGCTCATCCCCTCTGACCCCCCATCTGCTCTTTCCTAGGGCTACATCGGGCTCCCAGGACTCTTCGGCCTGCCAGGGTCCGATGGAGAGCGAGTAAGTGTGCTTTCTCTTCTTAGTCCACTTGCCCACTGTCCCTCATCCTGCTGTGTCCTCCTTGAGCCCAGGCTTGACCTCTTCCCTCTCTCTCCCCCTACAGGGTCCACCTGGCGTTCCTGGCAAGAGGGGCAAGATGGGTAGGCCGGTAAAGATTTTCCGTGTCTATTACGCAGACTCTATGGGTGGACTGACCTCACACCAGCCTCGCTCCCCACCCGCCTGTGGCCTGGGCATCTTCTGCTTCTCTGCTTTGAATGTGGGGCTGTTTGGGCCACATGTCCTGCTGACAGAATGATTAGGAGCTGCTCCCAGTTGGGCTTGGGGACATCCAGGGCTCCTAGACTCTCTAGTTTGGCCTCCCTCTGGATGGCAACAGCTCTGCAGTGTGGCTGTGTGTGTGTTGGGGGGGGGTGTTGGGAGGGGTTCTGTCTGAAAGATTGTGTCCATACGCCTGCTAGGACTGGAGGATAATTTGTGCTCTAGGACTCAGCCTCCATATTGTCTTGATGCTCAGCTCCTTCACACACAGGCCAAAGGGCAGTGGGATGTGTTGGCAGGTACAGGGTTATCCCAACAATGACTCAGAGGTAGCCCCCAGGCCAGTTTTGAACCTGACTTTCAAATCGAGTAAAAGAAAACTTGCCCAACGTTTCATAATGAGCGAACAGAGCCAACGTTCAAACTCATTAGGTGATTGGAGACCACCTCTGTGGGTCTGTCAATTCAACTCATTGCCATAGAGTTAGAAGCAACTAATTTGACCCTCTGTTGGGTTTTGAAGACATTGGAAGAGATGGCCCATCTCTCTCCTGTGGAGCCACGGGTGGATCTGAACTGCTTGAGAGGCATGGTCTCTGGGTTAACAGCACAATTCCCTGTGCACTCCACCACCAGTTCTAGCCTGAGCCTCTGTTGTTGTTTGTGCCATTGAATCAGAACCTACCCATAGCTGACTCTCCAGTGGGTTTTCAGAGACTGTAAATCACACGGAAAGATATTGCCCGTCTTTCTACTTTGGAGCCTCTGGTGCATTCGAACCCCCTACCTTTGGGTTGGCAGCACAACTCCTTAACTGCTAGACCACCAGAGGTTCTTTGTGAATCTCTGCTTAGTGGTAAGGAAAACATGGGTTTGCTAGACTTGGCCTAGTAGGAAAGTCATTCTTCTCATTATTCAGAAGAGGTAGCTGAGGCTCAGAGGACGAGCAATGTGTCCAAGGTCCCACTGCCAACCTGCAGCCTCCTTTCTTCCAGGCCGGTCCCCTGTGGGTGACTCGAGCCTCCATGCCACTTCCTTTGGTTAGCTATTCGTTATTGTTTCTGCTGAACAGATTGCCACACAATTTAGTGACTTGAAACAAACATTTATGACCTCATGCCGTTTGTGAGGGTCAGAGATCAGGGTTGAGTTAGCTGTTGGGTTCTGGCTCCGGAGTTCTCATGAGGCTGCACTCAAGATGTTGGCTGGGCTGCAGCGATCGAAAGGCTTGTTTGGGGCGAGAAGGCTCACTCACATGGCTGCTAGCAGGAGGAGTCAGATCCTCACCATGTGGGCCTCTCCTTAGAGCTGTCCCTGGTCAGGACAGGCTGGCTGTCTTCCCCAACACAAATGATTCTAGAGTGAGAGTGAGGAGACATTGCACACTTTGCAATTCCTTGTAAGACGTAGCTTTGGAAGACATGTCATCACTTCTGCTGAATTTTCTTGGCCATTCAGCTCAACCCTGGTACAGCATGGATGGAGGGCAACACAATGCCTTAGACTCCAGGAGTTGTGGGGGTCATGGGGGGCCATCTTGAAGGCTGCCTGCCACAATGGCTACTGCCTCATTGGACGGCTATAAGGAGTCAGTGGAACTATGTCTGGGGATCCTGGAGTGTAGGAAATGCTTAATCAACAAAAACTGTTAGAAGAAACACTTTACTCTTTAAGAATGCTTTAGGACAAGAAGAGAGGATGTTTTGCTATATGTTTTGATCTTTACTTTGGAGAGTATCTAGACCAAAATAGATAGTCCTAGAAGAACCTTAACCTCGTGTCAAGAGGCCTAGGTTCTAGCACTATGCCTACTGCTGATTCGCTAGGTGGTGTCAGGGAAGCCGAATCCCTCTCTGAGTTTCCCAGTCCTATAGCAGACGACAAGTCTGCTTCTCTCTGAGAAGTGATGGCATTTGGCTGTTTACTGAAGGACCTCAGTTAACATCCACTCTGTCTTTACAACCTCATTGCTCCCTTGCCTGAGAGTAGGCTCGTGGAAGATTCAAGAAAGCAGCACTCCCCTGCCAATCTTGAGAGACAGTTCTGTCTAAAGCTTCACTCTGTTCAGACCACACAGTGCATTTCTTCCCCAGCCACAGTGAGTTTCTCCTTCACAGAGACGTAGAACCACAGCACTCTGGGTCTGCCCTGGCTTCTTCTCCAGCCTGACGTAGAAAGGACTATGCCCTCATTAGGTCCCTCCGTATCAGCTGTCTTTCATGGTGCCTCTCTTTCATCCACCTTCTATCTATCGTGTGTCGTTTTCTCTTTAGAGTCAAGAGACGGGGCTTCTTAATGGCCAAGAAGTCAGCATCGATTCTGGGGACTGGAAGCATCTTCCCACTGAGATGGCGCATTCATTTTAATGTCACCAAAATTTCCTGTGCACCTATTATATGACAGGTGCTGGGGATGCCTGTACACAAAACAGACAAAAGTCTCAGTTATGGAAGTTTAGAGAAGGAGACAGCCAAGAAACAAGATAGAAAGGGGAAGCACAGTATGGTCATAACTCTGAGACCTCTTTAAGTGAGTGAAGCAACCCTGGCTGAGGCCCTCTTTGGTGCTTTCACCCACATGTGGCCATTCCAATAATCTAGGGAGGGGAGATTGCCTATCTTGATTTTCAGAAGAGGAAACCAAGACTGAGATGCTCAGTCCTCCACGACCTCGCTGGGGCTTGAAGCTCATCACTGAGGTCTCCTCTCTGCTTTTTGTGTGGTAGTTAGTGCCTTTAACTCCCAGACATTCAGTCCTGGCCTCCATGCCTGGGTGTTCCCTGGCACTGAGGTATAAGGTGTGGGTGGGAGGAAAGCTCAGCTAAACAGCCTGATGGCCAAGCAGTACCCCTGGGGGCTGTGAAAATACCCTCGGCTCTGGGCCAGCTGCCCTGGCCAGCTAGTTGGTTTGCACCAGAGATGATTTCATATGTTTACTGGAACTCCACATTGTCCAAGTCCATATGGTTTTGTCTCTGCCCCTTCCAGGCTCTCTGAGACCACCCTGCCCTTCCCACCTCTCTGCCCACAAACTCCTAGAGGGTTCTTCAGGGCCACCCCCCTGCTGCCAGTGCTCCTGTCCCCTTAAGTCTGCTGGTGGAGTTTGGGGCTCCTTTCATAAGTGGCTTTTTATCCTGGTCAGAGCTTTGGGCCGGGGAGACATCTAGGCACTTATTAGCAAGAGGAAATGTCAAGAGAATGAGCTGACTTTCCCCGTGCCAGATTGCAGCTGCCCTCATTTCTGGTGGGGCTGGGGAGGATTCGGCTGCAGTCAGTGTCTCCCTGGAGGCTCAACTTCAGGCCTGTGCACATGGCTCCCTCGGTACCTTGTTTGGTAAGAAAGTGTATGAAGTTTTGGCTGATAGAAACCAAGAAAGAAGCAGTGGGAATTAGAAGTCAGGACATAACTGCTGCAGGAACCTTAGTGATGCTGGACAGACCCGTGTGTCAGATAGATAAGCAGACAGTGCCTGGAGAGGGCAGGTAACTTGTCCAAAATCACACAGCAAGTTGGTGCCAGAATCAGGACTTCAACTCACAACCTTTGCTCACTAGGGATTCCAGGCAAGGCTGGCTGTCACTTCTTTCATGGCTGAGTCAGGCCTGCTAAGGCTGGTCCCGTGTAGTGAGTAAGGTGGGCAGTCCTGAGCTGGAAGGAACCAACTCTGGTTCCGGAGGACTGGGACTTATCTGGGGCCACACAGTTCATCCAGGGTGACACAGAGTTTCCAGCTCAGGACTCTCCAGTTCCCAGATCGTAAGCAACAGGGAGAAAATGACAGAGATTTCATGTTTCTGAATGGGGAAACTGAGGCAGAAGTGCATCACTGTGGTGATCCTGTGACTGGGGGGGGAGTGCAGTACTGAGAGTGCCCAATGTGAGCTAGAACCGTCCCCAGGTCTGCTGGTGACCCTGGAGTCCCAGAGGCACCCCCACCTGCCTGTTTTCTTTGACTTTTCTTGGGAGGATTTCCTAGTGAATTTCAAGAGTTGAGTAAAAACTTGCTCAGTGTTGTGAGAGGAAGATGCTGGGGAAGCTTAAGGAGTCTTTTCATGCCAGCGCATTTGGGGTGCACATGGAAAGACTATGAGCTGTTTCCAGTGTAGGAGGAAGGATGCAGGTTAGACTCGTGCAGAACTTCTGACTTCAGAGAATTTAGACATGAGGAGGCCTCTGAGGCCTTTCTAGGTTCTTTCCAGAAGTTATCAAGTGCTCTCCGAGCAGACGTGTGGCACAGTAGTGTTTACGGAGCACTGGGTTGTGAACAGTGCATTTCCCTAGTCTCTTTCTTACGAGGCGAGTTGGGCAGAACAATCACTTTGCAACCTGAAAAGCTGAGCCTTAGAGACCTCACTTAGGAAGACTTTCGATTCCAAGTGTTCTTGCTTTCCCTTCCCTATTTCCACCTTCTGGGCAGACAGATGAGGCAGATGATGCCTGGAGGCAGAGGAGCAGATGACAGGCTTCAGAGGCTTTCTCCAGCCCTCGGGGTCCTGGCTGGATGTGGTGAGCAGGACTGTCCTTGGCCTGGGCTCTATTCCTTGTCCTGGGCTCTATTCCTCAGAGTTGCTGTGGCCAAGAGAATGTGGAGTCTCTTCCTTCAGCCTTGATCTCTCTCCTCCTGAGCCTTATCCTGCTCAGAGCACAAGACGTTCAGTTCCCAGAGGAGCGCAGACCTGGGGAAGATGAGAAACCACGTGGCTGAGGCCCCAGCAGGGAGTTGAGCTCATTCCCGGGGCTGGCCCGCTGTAGCCAGGAGGTGGGCCTGCAGAGGAAGGTCTCTCCCCTGCTCGGGCTGGATGTGCATGCCGTGTGGTTGCCTTGCACAGGCAGGCACAGCCAGACAGAGGGAAGCAGACAGGGCTCCAGCTTGGCAGAGGCCTCCCCTGAGACACCAGAGAGAGGTTCCAAGCATTGGAGGCCCTGGGTTGAGCACTGGAAATGAGATACCCCACTAGGTAATGGAGGGTCAGGGCAAGCTCATGAGATGCTGGTTGACTTCTCTGAACCTCCGTTGCCCTGCTGAGATGCTGACTGTCCTCAGAGCTCCTGGAGGCCCAGCTAGGGTTGTCCTGGCACTCTTAAAGCTCCTGCCTTGCCTCACCCTTTGTGCCCTCAGTTCTAAACTCTGGATTTGCTTCACCATTCCACCGGAAGGGGACCAAAGTCTGAGACAGGAGTGGGTGCTCAAGGCCCCTCAGCATGCCCAAGCAGGGCAGTCCTCAGCATCTGTAATGCACCCTCCTTTGTGTCTTTGCCCACACTTCTGGGGAGCCCTTTGAGGGACCCCAGATTTGCTCTTGTTCATTCTTTCAGTGACTAGTGACAGGTAAGAAAACAGAGTCTAGAGTAAGATTGCTTGGGTTCAAATCCCAGCCCTGCTCTTTTATAACTCTGTGACTTTGGATAAGTTCCCTAACCTCTCTCAGTCTGTTTCCCCATCACTACTCCTCCTGCAGAGCCACTGGTTCGAATCCACCAGCTGCTCTGCAGGAGAAGAACGGTCAGTCTCCTCCCATGCGATTTACTGCTTCTGAGAACCCGTTGGGGGGTCATCTCTGAGTCGGCTCTGACTCTACAGTGCACAACAACAACATGGAAACGGTAACGGATCCATCTCATTGAACTATTGGGAGTTCTGTTCTAGAGTTTGCTGCCTCTGTTGCTGCTACCACCACCCTCATCTTCCATTGGCCTATATGAGGGCTGCATTTTCTTCTTCTGAAAACAATGTTTTAGGGCTTTGACTGCTCTCATGGCTGCTTCCTTCCTTCTACTTAGATATGGGCACCAAGTTCTGATTGTTGACTGTGTGCCAGCAAGGGCTTCCTCTGAGTGTTATCGCAACTCATCATTGTACTCTCCCCATTGTACAGCAGGGAAAACTGAGGCGCACAGATGCCTGCTAGTGGTAGAGCTAGCAGTGGCATCACAATGTTTTGGTCTAAAACCTCCCAGGGAAGGCTAGCTCACAGCTGGGTCTGAGAGGTGTCCATGAACAAGTTTAGAGCAGCCTTTGAATGAGGACCCATGGCTTTGAAAGCTGCCTCGTGGCCACTGGGCCTGAATATATTGGACATTGCAGCCAGTTGGGTGTCTGGGAGGTCCAAACAAAGTGGTATTCCTGTGTCTAGGGAGAGTCTCCCACTTCACAGGCCTTGTCTAAGGGTTGGGCTCAGCTGAAAGGGCACTTGGAGATCTCACGTCCCTATCTGAGCAGCATAGAATGTCCACTGAAGGCTGGAGAGAAACAGACTGGTCCAGAGTTAGCCACCAGCTGAAGGTGAGGGGTAGAAATGCTCTCTAGAGGTTTCCTGGAGGGTACAGCTTGGGCTACTCAGGTTCTGCCCCTTGTGGGCCATGTTGGATGAGTGCCCACTGATAGCAATTCTCCCTGTCCACTGAAGAATTTGCCCTCCTCCCCTGCCAGGGCTTCCCCAATCTCTAAAGTCAGAGGTGGGATCTCTGTGCCTTTGCAAGGTTCTCTTGACCACAGTCTACCTGGCTGATGAATAAGTTCCATTCTGGAAGGTGAGAGAGATTGACTTAAGGCTGAAATTTGCCAGGGAGACCTCCCAGGAAGCTTGAGTAGGGTGAGATAGGCTTTCAAGACATGGCAGGGAGACGGTTCTGCACATAGACATGCACATGCGTGCACACCCTGTCTCGGATCAATTAGGTGCTCATTCGGGCAGTTTCTCTGCATGCCAGACCTTGCCAGTGGACACTTCATGCAAACAGGACAGAGGACAGAGAGGTGGGACCGGGGTGCTCTTCTGCCACATGTTTTCCTTGTGACTGTGGCTACACGACCTTTTCCCCCAGGGATTATCCCCACTTGTTAAATTAGACTCATTACTTCCCCTCAAGGGAGGTTGTCAGGATCAAGGGACAGTTCACTTGTGAAGTAACCAGCTTGGTCTCGTCATTATTATATCCTCATATCCCCCAGTGTCTGAATGAAGCCGTACCCTCTGTGCGTGAATATCAGTCCTTGCCCTTCTGACCCAGGAGGGCTCCCTGGAAGAGGAAAGCTTGGAAGGAAGGAGGATTTCTGGGCAGGGGAAGACCAATAGTCTGGGTCCACACACATTTCAAGATCTTTTTGCTTAGCCGAAATTCCTGACACAGTGGTTAAAACACTCAGCTGTTAACTGAAAGTTTGGCAGATCAAACCCACTAGCCACGTCTCAGAAGAAAGATGTGTTCCTCTGCTTCCATAAAGTGTACACGCGGGGGAACCCTCTAGGGCAGTTCTGTGGCATTGCTGCAGTTCTGTGGCATTGCTGCAGTTCTGTAGCATTGCTGTAGTTCTGTAATGTTGCTATAGTTCTGTATCATTGCTAAAGTTCTCTAGCATTGCTGTAGTTGGACTTGACTTGATGCAATGGACAGGATTTTGAGTTTGCTCAGTTAGTGTAAACCGAAATAATTCATTTGGGTTTTGTTTTCAGATTTGGCCTCTTGGTTGAATAAACTCATTACTCATTGCCGTGGGTCTGAACTGACTCATAGCTGACCCTCCAGCGGGTTTTCAGGGGGATGTAAATGACATAGGAAGAGATCGCCCATCTGTCCCCCTTGGAGCCACTAGTGGATTTGAACCACCAGAGAAATGACGCCTTTGAGTTAACAGCATAGCTCCCCAGGCACGAGAAACACAACGATCCATCATAAGGAATCTTCCTTTTCCTAAATTTTATGTATTTTGTTGTTGTTGAGAATATACACAGCAAACTGTGCAACCATTTTTGCCTTCCTTTCCTGAGTTTTTCTCCTTCGTTAATGCGAACTTCCCTCTAAGTTCCTATCTAATTTTTCAAGGTGCTGTTATCAATTTGGTCCCACATACACATATACATACAGTAAACTGCTCAAGACAGATGGTTTTCACTAGTTAATATGGACTCTTGTTCTGTTTTAGGATGACTTTAGGGCTTCCACGGAGAATCTTTATTGTTTGAACAGCACAGACAGTCCCTTGGTCTGAAAAAAAACAAGTGCTTTGTTTTTTATTAAATTTCCCTGGAAAAGTAATAATTTGAATTCTGGGAGGGTTAGGGAGGACTGGGTTTCCCCAAACGCCAAGCCTAAGGATTTTCTTCTCCTTTTGAAGTAGGAATGGAGCAGCTTCCTCCTCCCCCCACACCCTGGAGGCGTCCCCACAGCTGATGTTTTTCCAGCTGCCTGTCTCCCCAGAGTGGGGGTCAGGGCGGGCTGAGAGGGCCTGGGCCGGCGGGTGGCTCAGCCTCCTCCGGGCTACTGAATCCTCACTGTCGGGTCGGTGGTGCTGCTCACTAGTCATGTGACCATGTGAGACCTCGTCACCTTCCCTTGCAGAGCCTCACTTTCTTTTTCTGTAAAATGCGGAGTTTGACTGAACAGGGTGACTTTTGAACAGTACTTATTCCCACTAAGCAACATAGAAAGGCCAGCCTAGACAATGCCATATATTCCTTCCACATATGACTAGTGGGGAAACTGAGGCCCATGTTATTGTTGTTGTTAGGTGCCATCGCATTGAGGACAACTCCTAGCAACCCTATGAATAATAGATCTGAGCCCTGTCCTATCCTGTGCCATCTTCACACTTCCTGACACGCTAAGAGCCCATGACAGCCGTCACCTTGTCGATCCACCTGGCTGAGAGTCTTCTTTTCTTCGCTGACCCTCCACCCTTCCCAGCATCATGTCCCTCTCCAAGGAATAGCCCCTCCTAGCAATATGCCTGTAGTATGTGAGGCAAAGCCTCTTAAAAGCAGGCAGTGAGTCGGGAGCTGGTCTGGGCCTCACGCTGCTCCCTGACCCCAGTTCTTCCCTCTCTTGCTACATTTCTCTGGCCAGGTCCCAGATAGGAGGGTTGGCATTTGGCTCCATGCTGGGGAACCAAACGCCATTTTCCTTCCAGGACAGAAACTCAGCCTCAGGCAACCCTGATGCTCTGTTTTGGGGATGTTAGTTGGCGATGGTGGGAGATAGGGCCTTGCTGCCTTTCCTTGGAGATCAGACGGAGTAACTGCAGAGCCACCGACTGCTAGGATTCCAGAACCAAGGGAGTGAGACTGCTTGGCCATTGTCCTGTGTTCCCACCGGGGGTCTAGATCAAAGGTGTCCTACAGGTACAAACTCTCACCTACAAATACTTGTTCTCTCTCATGACCTTAGGGGTTTCCTGGAGACTTTGGGGAAAGAGGCCCTCCTGGACTGGATGGAAACCCTGTGAGTATTTCAAGTCTAAAGAGATCCAGACCTAACACACAGTAGGTTTAAGGAGTCTGAGGCTTGCAATCAGACAGATCTGGGGTAAATCCCAACCCCCCACCATGAATAACTGGATACTTTTGGACAAATGGGAAGGGCTCTCTGAAACCCGTGCTTCCATCTCCTGCATGTGCTTCATAGGCCCCTCGTAGACCCCCGACCCCTGGACTGTGCTCCGTCCCCAAGTCTTCGGAAGACTCCTGGTTCCCTGTCGCCATCTTAGAAAGCTTCAGAAATGTTTATGGGCTGGCTGCCGCCTGGAAAAGCAGATGATTTGCAGGCCCTGTGGAGAGAGAAGAGCTGGGTTCTAAAGGAGTTTCTACCACAGCCGTGTTTATAGAGTTTGTAAATAATTGGAGGCCCAGACGCTGTTCCATAGAGGAGCTGGGTCAACCTGCCCTGGGAGCTGTCTTTCCTTTTCACGTCAGGCTCCAGGCTGGGCCAGAAGAAGATGTCTGCTTTCCACCGAAGGGGCACAGACCCTTCCCCTTGGTCCACCTGTCATTTCTCCTTTCTCTCTCTAATTGGGGGAGATCAGGCTTCTCATTCTATGCTTCCTATAAAACTGACTGCTGGCTGCCAGTCCCATCAGCCCCTCATCTTAGTTGTTCACTTATGTAAATGCTCTTGAGTCCCCTCCTGGAGCCTGTCCCAGCTGGGGCTGACCACCAGGCTCACCTGCGGACTGCAGCCCTGAGCTCAGAATCAGGTGGGTCTGAGTTTGAGTAGTGCTGCCCCACTTACCAGGCCTGTGAGCTTGGGTGAATCAGTTCCCCTCTGAGTGCTATTGGGGGGTCAGACACAAGCCTCAGAGACGCCGTAAGAATGAAGTGAGAGAAGGCAGGAAAGATGCTCAGCCCACACCAGTGTTCAGTGTGTGGGGTTATTGCCAGATAATGGGGCACAGTCCCTGCCTTGAGGAGTTGACGGGAGGTCTCTCTATAATCCATAGTATAAGGCACATTTTGATGGAGGGGGGCAAGGAGGTCTCCAGTGCTGTGGTAGCAGAGACAGCTCCTGGGGAAGGTGGCGTGGAACTGAAATGAATAAGGGGTGAGAGGACCTTCCAGAGAGAGAGAAGGGTGTGGGCAGAGATGTAGAGGTGGGAACTCTGATCCTATCCGCTATCATTTCTAGATTAACCTTTACAACATTGAATGATAGCATTCTTTAGGAGGAAAGCTGGTGTATCTTTATACTCACAATCTGGAAGAACAAAGGACTAGACCCCTGACATCTGGTCCCAGCTGTGCCTCAGGGTTGCTGAGTGGCCTTGTCCCAGCACTTCCTTCTCTGAGCCTTGCGCTGTGTCATGGAGTCCGTCCTGATTCATGGTGACCCCATCACACAAGAGAACTGCCCTGTAGGGTTTTCTAGACTCTAATTGTTACAGGAACAGATTGCCAGGCCTTCTCCTGTGGAGCGACTGGTGGATTAGAGCCTTCTGGCTAGCTGCTGCACATTTCAGGATTGCACCACTTCGCCTTCCTCCTTTTAAAGCTGAGAGTCTTTCCTACCCCCCTCCCCTCCCCGCCCCCGGTGGCATAATGGCTAAAGAATTTGGCTGCTGATCAGAAGGTCAGCCGTGGTTTGAACCCACCAGCCGTTCCGTGGCAGAAAGATTTAAACAGTCAGATTTCTTCAAGATTTACAGCCGTGGAACCCCCTGGGCAGTTCTGTTCTGCCCTACAGGGTCGTTGAGAGTCAGAAGCAGCTTGGATGACAGAGGGTGTGGAGGTTCTTGTGGTTGTTGTTTTGTTTCTAATTTTGTCTTCTTCGTGGAGCCTGATAGACGAGTTGGAAGACAAGTCCCTGGGGAGGATGTTGACAGTCCTCACTGGTAATTGTGATTTCTAGAGTCCCTGTACTTAGTCACACAGCTGCATTCTGAACTTGACCCAGGCTGCCCTGTCTTTGTCCATGTCAGTGTGATTGAGCAACGAAGAGCCTGTTTATAGAAAGAAGTGGCTGAGGCTCAAAGGGGTAAATCGACTTGCCCGCTGCCACTCGCTGCCGTAGTGGTAGACCGGGGCTTAGAACTGCCTCCGAGTCCACACGGGAACTCTCCTTTGCGTTTTGGAGGCCCTGGAAGGGGTCACCTGAGGGCTTGGAGTGGGTGAGTGCAAATAGGAAAAGAGACGGATTGGTGTCTGTTGTCTTCACCATTAAACTATTTGCTTGTGTGTGACCTGCATAGGCCATTATAACCTTTTGGTTTCTCATCTCCAAAATGAGGGTGAAATAAAATTGTTAAGGTCAACCATCCTCCATGGTATCACCGTCCTGGTATCGACACCATGAACTTCTGGACTGAGGTTCTGTCCATTCTTCAGATTTGCAATTGGAAGGTAGTGGATGGGAGTGCCTGATCTCTCATTTTCACACGTGTAGAGCTGGTGGCTGAGTGGGTGAAAGTTTTGTCCAAACTTACGGCGCCTCTGTGGTTTACGATGTGACCTGTGTGGAGCTGACCACTGAGCTGCTGGTCTCTGTGCTCCAGGGGATGTGGGAGGATTCTAGGTCTGCTGAGGGGCCTATGGTGGTGAGCTGCAGGCCTGAGATTCAAACAGACCCCAAAGGCTTGAAGGTCAGACTCAGGATGGTCTCTCAGAGCCTGTAGTCAGGAATGAGGTCCAGTCAGCTCCCTAAGGTCCTGCCAGCTGCTTGTGTGGAGGGTGATGTAAAGAGAGGGACCCTAGAGGAAGACAAAGCAAAGCTCAGTCACTGTGCAGGCAGTAACCACCTTGGTTTCTTTCTGTTTACAGGGAGATTTGGGCCTGCCAGGGCCCCCCGGCGTCCCCGGCCTCCTTGTAAGTACACAGACATGTGGACAAGGGTGCTGGGCTGGAACTTGGGCATGTGAGCAAACAGCTGGTCCTGCAGGGCAAATGGAAAAGCCTTCTCTTTGCTCAAACCCCAGAAGAGGCTCAGGGAGCCAGCCTGGTCTTGGCAGAGAGCTGAGGCAGGAACGGCTGCTGTGTGGCCTCTGTTAGGCTGCTTGCCTTCTCTGAGCCTACTTCCTCACCAGTAGATGAGAGCGGGAGGCTGCAGATGTCCTTCTGCATCTGCTGCTGGCTCGTTGCTCTGCGAGGAGGTCTGGATGGGTGATGGCATGGCCAACCCACAGGTGAGGAAGTGACTGACAGATGCTGAGGCTCTGGGCCACTTTGGCCAGTCCTGTGAGCACTGACTTTAGAGCCAGACTTCCTGGGTTCAAGTCACAGCTCTGCTGTGTAACCTAGATTAAATCACTTCCTTTTGTAAGTCTCCATTGCTTCATCTGTAAAATGGAGGGCTTAGAGTAGAAGATTCGATGGGGAATTCCATGTACAATCCTTGGCACAAGGACTGGCACTTAGTAAGTGTTCAATTTGTGAGAAATGTAATAGTAACTATTGTTATCACTTCCTGAAATGCCCAGGACTGAGCACAGCATATATGGAGAGAGGTAGGAAGTGACTGATTGCTGATTTCATCTAGGCATCAGACTTTTTCTTTTGGTTGAAACCAAGGCTGAAACTCAGGACTGAAGCCTAGGTACCAGCGAGAGGCTTGTGTCAGAGAAATGACTCTAATATCTTCTCCTTGTTGCCCACCCCTTCTCTCTGGCCTAAGACCGGCTCATGGGGTTTAAGTCAGGAACCGTGGAGGGACATCCTTTAGCCAGCTTTGGCCATGCCAGTAACTTTGCTGAGAAGTACAGCTCAGAAGAGGCTGCAGAAGGCAGAAGGAAATGTGAGGCCTCGTTGTTCATGATAGACCAGCCTGGAAAAATATCCAAAGGTCAGAGTGGTCATAGTGGCAGTTTGTTCCTGCTAAGTAAGCCTGGGCAGTGGTAGAGGAGCAGATCAATCTACATCCAAATCTGAGTATTGCTTTCTCCTAGTTCGGTGACCTACAGTTAGTGACCTCACTTCCATGCATCTCAGAAAACTCTTCCCATAAAATGCAATTATTGTACTTGCTCTTGTTAGGGCCCCAGACACATAAAGTCCAGTCCATTCCAGTGGTTAAGAGGACAGTCCTAGGAATCGGATTTCCAATGTTTCAACTTCTTCATTTACAAAATAGGGTTAATGTTCTTTACCACACTCAAAAGACTGCTGTGAAGATTTAGAGTAATTAATACAGCAAGTGCCTAAATAGTAAACATTCAAGAAGTATTGGTTATAATAAAATAGTTGGTGTTAGTTTGGATTGTTTTATACCTGGTAGGAGCTATCTAGATTGCTAAATTACGATAGATTCCAAAGTCACTTTAGAGCCGAGTGGGCTGGAGTATTGTAATTTATTAGTGATTTCTGCCTTGGTTTGGGATGAGAAACCATCAACGTGTGAGTCAACATTTGACATCCTTAATACTCATTTATCAGATCTTTGCTGAGTACATTATTTAGAAAATTGTGGTGACCTAGATGCTTTGGAAAAAGAAATACAAGTAGTCTTCCACTTAGTACATATTTGAGTTATGAAAACCTGCACTTATGACTGTCCGTTTGTTGGTTTTTGTACACCTGATAGTCAGCTGGTGGCCTAGTTGGTTAGAAATTGTACTGCCAACCCAGAGGCAGGGAGTGGGTTTAGGCTTTTTTTTTTATTTTATTGGTTTGCTCACAAAGTTCATATACATTGTGTTCCACACTGTTCTTCATTCATATTAGGTTTCATACAATCATTCCCATGCATTATGACTTATAAAGTCAATCACCACTGGACCTTACCCGGCCATTTCAGGTCCCCACCAGATCCATTCCAATTTCCTTCACCTCTTTCTTCCACCGGCCAAACTGTGCAATCCTGTGGTTTTGCCTCTACCCATCCTCACCCCTCTGCTCCTGCCCTTTCCATCCTTGGGAAGGCAGGGGTTTTATTATTCACCAGCTGCTCCATCAGAAAAAGATGAGCAGTCTCCTCCCAGGTGATTTAGTCTTTGAAACTCTGCTGGAGGGACAGAGATGAGTTGGTTCTGATTCCATGGAAATGAAGCAATTTTAAAAATAGTTAAATACTTTCTATCAGGGAGATCTGGTGGCCTAGTGGGAAGAAGCTGTGCTGTAATCCTGAAGGTACATGGTTTGAGGCCATGAATTGCTCATTGGGTGAAGGATGAGTAATCTCCTCCCATGCAATTAACTGACTCTGAAAACAACTGAAGGGTCACCAATGGGTTGATTCTGATTTTATGGTACATTACAATAACAGCAACTCTGTATTATTAAACAATAGACAGACAATGGACAATAAATAAGCATGACAGAAGACAAATTGATGCCTTTGTGTTGCAGACCGAGGGTCCCAAATAATGGAGTAATTTAAAATTATTAATAATGAGACAAACAGCCAGGAATGAGATAGAGCAGAGAACATAAAGCAGGGGGCCAGCAGTTCTTGACTGAAGACCCTAAGCCAAGCTTCTCTGTATCTTTATTGAAAATTATCAGGAAGTAAATCACAAAGATAATTCGGTGCAAATGAAGCCAAGCCCTTTCTATTGAAAACCTTCTGCTTGACTCAGGAGGGAGGGGTCAGCAAATGCAAGAATCTGGTAAACCCCGAAGGATTGCCTTAGTGCCTCAGGGTGAACTCTGGCTTATATACCTCACCTCCCCTACATCCTGAAACAGCATTCAGTTTATTACAGATATTTAGTATTGGCTTCCCATACCTTTGAGTTGTGATACTGGAGGATAGTACTGAATATCCCATGGAATGCCAAGAGAACAAACAGATATGTCCTAGAGAAGATGCAGCCCGAGTGTTCCTTGGAGGCGAGGAAGCCGAAACTTTGTCTCCCATGCTTTGGGCAAGTTGCTAGGAGAGGGTATTCCTTGGAGAGGGACATCATGTTTGGAAAGGTGGAAGGTCAGTAAAAGAGAAGGAGAATCCCAACTAGTGACACAATAACCGCAGCTCAAGTATGTCAGAGACGGTGAGGACGGCAAAGGAGAGGCCAGGGTTCAGATCTGCTGTTCACTGGGTCGCTACGAGTCACGCTCGACTCAACAGCAGCTCACAGCACCACCACCCTGTACTACAGTGTTGCAGCATGCAGTTTCCTGATGCTGTCATTCCCATGCCTTCCCTCAAAGACCCATTTTCTAAAGCTACTTATAATAATGAAATTTTTTAAAGAAAATACATATTTAGCTTCTGTCAAAACGGGCTTGGGACAGAACAGAACCTGTCATCAATTGGAGAATGTGTATCTGAACTTAGAGAATCTGAGTTTAGAGAAGCCTCCGAAGTTCAGCCCTCTCTAAGTCCCACAGGAACTCCTTCTGGATCATCTCTGTCAGATGATCATTACACTCCTTTTTTAACACCTCTGGCCTTTAGAAGCTCCTTCCCTGCTGAGACAGCCTTGTCTTTTTCAACAGAGCTCTCATTGTTCAATGCTGTGTGCTTACTAAGCCCAAGTCAGCCTTACTGTCCGTGGAAGTGTCCAAGGTGTGAAGATTGTCACTGGTTTTCCCAAGACTCCTGGTTTATAGGGCAGACAATCCTAGTCCCCAAACTTTACTGTGCTCTGGCTGTCATCCTTGGCCCCTGCTCCTGTCATTCACTGTCTTAATGTTCACTGGGTGGGACTTGGAAAGGGCGAGAATATTGGTTGGCTGCATAAGTCATATGCTAACCCAGCCCTTGGTGCTCCTGATTCTTTACAAAGCTCTTTTCCACTGTGTTCTCCTCGCTCCAGAGTTAGGGCTGCCAGTTAAAATAAGACTCCCAGTTAAGTTTGAATTCCAGATGCAGTGTTTAGAACATGTTTATACTAAAATAGCATTCATTGTTTATTTGAAATGCAAATTTAACTGAACATCCTGCATTTTTATTTGCTAAATCTGGCTACCTGGCCCACAGTCTCTTAAGAGTTCTATTTCTTAGGCAGGAAAACTGAGGCCCTTAATCAAGGTCACAAACAAGGCGGGAGAGGATGGAGGCAAAATCAGAGTCTGGGCCCCACAAACTGCTAATCCAGGGTATTCTTCTCCATGCCCCATGTTTGAGGGGGCTTGAGCCTAGGTTGGAACTCTGGTCCTTTCTGCATTTCTCGGACCTCAACTTGGACCTGAAGCCTTTCCACAGAGCTGCCCTATCCAGCCCATGCTCCTTCATGCCCCATTTCTTTCTTTGGACCCTTTTTGCCTCTCCTTTTCTGCTGGTTTTTCAATTTGATTCCTTTTGTTGCTAAAGTTGAGTTCCCCCTTTTCTCACCCTTGGAACTCATAAGGCTTGACAAGTGAGTGCCTACTCTCACCCAAGCCTCCCACTCCCAGCTTCTATGGTCCAGCTTCTAAGGGCAGCTTCTATGCTGGGGAAAAAGTGACCTCTCTGAAGAGCTGGAGGAGTAAAGAATTTCCTAACCAGGAGTTAAAGGGGAAGAGGGACTGTGAGTCACCTTGGTTTTCCAGAGAGGATGTGGGTTTTAAGCTGAGCAAATGGGAATTCCACGTATTGATAATCATTTTAATGGAAATTCAGATTTATTCAGGGCTTTCTGTCTAGTCAGCTGAAGTGATTTGCATGCAGATGGAAGCTGGACAGTCCCAGATCCCCACAGCTCTTAAAGCCGGGAGGAAGGGCGCCAGAGGACAGACTAACATTTATGGAGCGTCTGTCTGCCTTGTGTGTGCTTCTCGTGCATGAGGCTGCAGAAACCCCTGATGCTCGGGGTGGGCAGCCAGCAGTACACCAGGACAGGGAAGCTGTGGTCCACAGCCACCAGCTGTGGAATGGGAACGCTGAACTTGGGACCCACTCTCTGTGCCTCTAGCCCCAGTAAGCTGCCAGTGGCTTCCTGCGGCCTGCG